ACGAGTGTTCCTTCATAATGTGGACAAACTGAGATAACGTAAAAATTGAATTTTTGCAAATAATTCGCGATATGATGCTGGCATTAAATTCGGCAATAGAGCATTGCGGAGCCTGAAAAAAGCCCTAAATTTTGACCTATAGTAGACCTTCCTACAAGTGCTCCTTCATGATGTGGACAAACTGAGATAACGTAAAAATTGAATTTTTGCAAATAATTCCCGAAATAATGCCGGCATTAAATTTGACAATAGAGCATTCAAGAGCCTTAAAAAAGCCCTAAATTTTGACCTATAGTAGACCTTTCTTCGAGTGTTCCTTCATGATGTTCACAAACTGAGATAACGTAAAAATTGAATTTTTGCAAATAATTCGCGAAATAATGCCGGCATTAAATTTGACAATAGAGCAATCAAAAGCCTTAAAAAAGCCCTAAATTTTGACCTATAGTAGACCTTCCTACTAGTGCTCCTTCATTGTGTGGACAAGCCACCTTAATGTTAAGCTAGCATGTCCACAAGTTTTTTAAAGAAAATGCCGAGCATTAAATTCGTCATTAGGGCATTAAATTAGCCTTAAATTAGCCCTTAATTTTCAAATAGGTGTAATCCAGATCGGACAATGTGGACAAGCCAGGTTAATGGACCTACCAGGACGAATACTTTTAAAGAACTGAACTTCGTCAAATTTCTTGAAAAATTTGTAGTTTAAGTACGTTACATCGTAATGTTTTGGTTTTTTCCTAGCTAATCTGCAAATCTCTACATACTCGACAGGAACGTTGACAGTTTTGTGTTTGAGAGATCGCTCGACAGTAGCATGGACAGAATCAACTTCCATCTGGGTATACCCAACTTCGAGAAACTTTTGTTCGATGATTATGTTATTGTTCATAGCTGTAGACGATAGAGCATTGGACATCACACAATTTCTATTCTGATAAGTGCACCCATCACTATAAAAAATTAATTTTTTATGTTTGTCTGACTCTGATTCTGTTGATTTGTTTTGCTGCTCAATAAATTTTTCAATTAAATCAACCCACATACTTGCAAACTCTTCAGAGCTTAATCCTCCTTCACTTTCGTTCCATAAATAACAAATGCCATCTCTGCTGTTTAAATTATAGAACGTAAGATTGTGAACTTGAAGTTTTGTTCTGTAATATAAGCTACTGACATTTGACTTAGGTGCCATGAGTACAGATTGTAAGTCAACTGTAAAAACGTTCTTTTCTTTCTTCTTGTCATTATTTTTTTCAGCTCTAGCTTCTTCTTTCTTTGCTTGATGTTCTAAGTAAATATCTTGATATAAATTTCCAGCTTTGAATAAAGCACACTTCTCGCAATGATCTTTTTTAGGAAAATACAGTGCAAGGTTTTTATTATCAAAAACTTCATGAAAAACGGCAATAGATAGAGGCTTAACGTTACGTAACTTACACCAATCGTTTTTGTAAAATTCGTAAACAGCTCGTTTTGTCTTCCACTCTGGCAACAAATATTTTTTCTGGGTTTCAGAACGACAGTAGTGTGATTCCATAGCAGGTAAAGAGTCTAAAAAAGATTCAATCTCTTGGCGTTTTTTAGCAAAAGGGTCAGTAGTAGCTTTTTTACGTAGTTGACTAACTGTGGATGCGTTTTTATTTTTGATGGATTTCCCTTCGTTTTTCCAGCTTAGTACAGTCGCTCTACCAATGGCAAGCGTATTTAGAAACATGGTCCTGCATACTTTAAAAGGTTGATCTTGTTTTTTTAAATGGTAAATGAAAGATTGTCCTCTTCTTGACTTCTTTTTTCTTTTTCTTCCTCGTGGTCGTTTAACAGGTACAGATGTAACCAGAACTCCAACGTAAACTTTTTTTCAGGCCAACTCATATTCCAAAAATCTGTAAAAATATGTAGTCTATCTTCTTCCGTAAAATCTAAACACTTTAGGGTTCTCTTTGCTGTCTCTTTACACTGACATCTCATTTTTAATGTTCTTGGTTTTTTTGAAATCTCATAATTCCATGTTTCTTCTTTTTTTCTTCCATAGTATTTTTTCCCAGTTTCTCTTAGTTTCCTATTTTTAGCAGCAAACCAATTAGACTTTTGAACTTAAGCCTTTCTTTTTCTTGTGTTACTTTTTTTGGATATTCATAATTTACCGAGTGAAACGGTAGATCCTGTAGCATCCCTGGCGGATTGGGAAACCCGAGTTCTAACCGAATTGGGTTACGATTCGGTTACGTTTTGGTTCATTGTGAAATATTATCGTTAATCGACGAAATATGTTGTAAATAACTATTAGGAATGGTTAATATACATTAAGAGTGCTTATTTATGCAATCATAATAATAAATTAAGATATAATTAATTAATAATAAGTGTTTTACATGTACAGTGCATACAGTTGTTGAATTACCATATATATGTATATTACCATCAGCGGCAGCTGTGATACGCGCGTTAAGCCCTAGATGGCGTTAAGGATGACTTTGTGAATGAATTTCTAAAATTAAGCCCTTGAGTGTCAAATGAGTAAGTGAATATATAAGTTTTAAAAAAATGGATCAATTTATTAAAACAACTTTTTTGATCTGTACAAATTTAAAAAAAAAATTTTTATAACGTACAAAAATTTTTTTAATGAGAAAAAGTTTTTTTTGTGTCAAAATTAATCTTTCTCATTTCTTTGAGAAAAAAAAATTTTTTATTCAGAAAATAAAATTTTTTTAGGGAAAAAAGTTTTTTTATGTCAAAATTAATGTTTCTCATTTTATTGAGAAAAAAAAATTTTTTTAAGAATAAAAAAAAAATTTTTGGAAAAAATTTTTTTTCAAAATTAATCTTTCTCATTTTATTGATAAAAAAAATTTTATTCTTAAAAAAAATTTTTTTCCTCAATGAAATGAGAAACATTAATTTTGACATAAAAAAACTTTTTTTCCATAAAAAAATTTTTTTTTTTAAATGAAATGAGAAAGATTAATTTTGACAAAAAAAAACTTTTTCTCATTAAAAAAATTTTTGTTCGTTATAAAAATTTTATTTTTATATTTGTACAAATCAAAAAAGTTGTTTTAATAAATTGATCTATTTTTTAAAAACTTATAGATTCACTTACACATTTGACACTCAAGGGCTTAATTTTAGAAATTCATTCACAATGTCATCCTTAACGCCATCTAGGGTTTAACGCGCGTATCACAGCTGCCGCTGATGGTAATATACATATATATGGTAATTCAACATCTGCATGCACTATACACTTAAAACACTTATTATTAATTAATTATATCTTAATTTATTATTATGATTGCATAAATAAACACTCTAAATGTATATTAACCATTCTGTTTATTTTCTAAGTTTTTTAATAATTAAAATAAAGTTCACTCGAAAGGAAGGATTGTCAGTTCGGGTGAAGCCAATGAGTAAAACCCCTTTTTTGAAAATAATAACAATTTAAATGTTTATTGTTATAAAATGAACGTTGATTGTGGGGGGGGCTAAATCTCGCGGAAAATTGATTTTTAACAGCTTATAATAATTTAAAGAAATAGAATCGTGTATTAACTCGATGACTCTACCGGTCTACCTCGCACACTTGCTACCACTAAATTCGCATTTCAGGAATTGGAATATAATTCGGGGAAATGAGGAGAGGGAGTGGATTATACATTCTTGCACACATGATCAGATTAAAGCCTACTAATAGGCGTCGCAATATCTTTCATTCAACGTACAATTTAAACATACCGCCGGCCTCGTGTGACCATTTGTTTATTTTTTCTACACGGAGAAAAAAAGGAGAACCGCTTAACCCGCCGGTAAAGCAGTTCTCTTAAACGAGAGTCAGCTGTTTGACCGCTTAGAAAGTGAGCTGTTCGCTTCTCGAAGGGTGAACGAGTACGCTTTTTGAGGAAAGCGGGTTAGCTTTCCTGTAGGTAAAACGACAAAAGGTGAACGGTTACTCCTCAAAAGATAAACGGTTCTCCTTTCGCGGCGAAACTGCTGCTCCCTGACGAGTGAGAACAGCTCACAACTGCCAAATCAAGCGGTTCTCCTTTTTTTCTCCGTGTAATGAATGCAAATAATCAGATGACCATTTTCTCCAAAAATTTTCTGACATTTTCTGAACTAATTGCCAGCGTTTTAATCGATTGCCGGGTACAAACTCCTGCGAACACTCTGGTACACTCAGAAGAAGAGCTCCAATTAAAAAATGTCCTGGAGTTAGGGTTACCAGATGATATTTACGAAAAGTAGGACATTATAATGTAAAAAAGAGGACAAAAGAGGACATGCGGTTATAAAAAAAGAGTACAAAAGTAGAACTTTAGAAATTTGTCTTTTATTATATAATGTAAACATAATTAAATTTTAATGTAACATTTTTTATTTAAACACGCTTTTTGGTCATTTAAAATTTCAATATAAGATTCATTTTATATATTTATATTAATAATACTGTTTCAAGAATAAAATAAACTTTTTTTTAATACTTTCCAATTAAAATTGAAGTCAGAAATGATAAACCTTGGATGTTTTTACGCATCATACTTATCTGAACTGCCTACTTCACTGAGTAAATTCTCATTTTGAAGTGCAAAATTATAAAATTCGAAACAGTTCATGTTTTTAAAGTTAAACATTGTTTGTACGATCCCTTTAATTGTCGAGATATCCAACCGGTTCCTGTCCTTACTCTATTGAATGTTAATAAAAGAAAATACCCGCTCAACATTAGCATTGTGAGCCGGGATAGCAAAGAAAAACTGGGCTATTTTTAATAGCTCTGAATAAACATCTAAGCTTGAACATTGCATAAAATATTCCGTCCACAGTGCATCAGTTAGCTTAGTACAATCTTTTTCTCTTAGATAGATTTCGACATATGTTTGAAAACTACAGAATTGATCAAAAAGCTTGGTGTCATTTATTTTCATAACTTTGAGTGTCAAATATTCAATTGATGCAGAAACGTCCTGCCATTGAGGAACACTCTTGAAGTTCATCTAATTAAAGCATTTCAGCTCTTCGAAAGGTGCTATCCATGGCTCTAAATGTTCCAAGCAAGCACTATACATGTGATAAATATCGTCTTTACCGGTTTGTGCTTCTCTTTCAAGTCCATTTTCTGCAGCATTTCTGAGAATCTGCTTAACAGATAAAGCCAAGAATTGTTGAGAAATCCTGTCTTGCAATGATTTTTGACAGACTTCTAAAATGTGGAGAACTTCTTATACCGAGTTTTTTTCCCTTTCGATACTTGCCACTTGAGCGTGGAACATCGACATTAAGGAATGTACCGACCAGAGATAGCATTCTCAAAAATCGCTTTCAAAAAATGTATGTAAGACTTTCGGAGAATTATCATTAGACAAAAAATACGACTTCAAAGCAGGAAACATTTGAAGAAATCTTTCTACAGCCAGAAAAAGTGAAAGCCATCTAGTTGCGGAATGTTTCGCTAAAACTTTAAATTCAGTTTCAACAAAGTCGCATAAATCTTTCAATTCCTCAGTTCGAACAGTGTAAATTGAAAAATAATTATAGACTTTTACAATTATTGACTCCACATCAATCGGTAATGAATAAGTACCTGCATGAGTTGTATTATTTAATATATGACCTGGGCAATAGCCTGTGTTTTTGTTCTAGCATTAGACATTTGCTGAGCAATTTCGGAATCCTTGTAAATTAGTTTGTGAAGATTGGTTGTACAATCGGTAGATTTAAAAGACTGATGATGATGAACTGTGTGAAAAGCAAGTGTTGCTTCTCCTGCTCGGGCAGAGTTTTCACACTTTGAAATACCGATTTTGACGAAATTGTCCAATTGAACAACTTTACATTGATTTTGTAAATTCCTTTTATGTTTATTTCTGGCAATGTGAGCTTCGATATCACTAGCTCCTTTGTTTGAAATATTAATATCAATATTGCATGTTAAACAGTGTGCAATACTACTGTCATCAGTTTTTGTAAATCCCGGGTATTTGATTCGCAAATCTGAATTAAACTTGCACTTTCTTCGCTGAGACATGATCCTAAAAAATAACGCATATAAATATAAATTTTTTATTATTTTTACAAATTCTTAATTTATTCTTAATATATATTAAAATTAATTGTACATATTTTATATTTCAAAACTACAAACATATTTACACATTAAAAACAGAACCTAACATTTTTAATTTTAATGTATAGATTAGTTTGTAAAATTACTAAGAAATACACATTTTTAAAAATAAAAGTATGAAAGTTGCATATAATAAGAATTATATTAATTATTAGAAAACCGATTTAAAAGAAAAAAGAAAACACTTACCTCATTAACTTATTTAATCACTGTACAGACATAGAAATCAACAATTTCTAGCGGTATCTTATTTACGGCCTGTAGTAGTTTTTACTTAACAATGAAACACATAAATACAATCATGTATTAATAATAAGTATAATATAACATAAAAACAAGAAATTTGGTTCAAACAGGAATAGCATAAAAATTAACCGCAATAGAGGTTAGACCATGCTGAGATCTTATGGAATCCACGCAATCGCAGTGATGGGTATATTGCGATAGTAGTTGCAATGTGCGCCACTTGAGTTTTACGTTGACTACAAATATCACATGGCAACGGACGGTATATACGTTAATTAAAATGCGTACTTTAAACATAAATATGTCAAATATTCATAAATACATAATTTTACTCGCACTGTGGTATAAATATGAAATAAAAAATGTGTACATAATAGGTATCATTGAGGAATAAAAAAGCCGGACAAAAGCCTGACATTTTAAAAAAGCCGCCCGCAAAAAACCCGCAGACCCTAAAAAGAGTACATGTCCGGCTAAAAGAGTACGTCTCGTAACCCTACCCGGAGTTAAATATTAAAAATCTCCAACGTTATTATTCAATGGAGCATGCGGTCTAGAATTTAGCGAAGCCTCAATTCTCGTTAGTAGAGTATAAAATTCTTCGTGGGTCAGTTTGTGTGAACCAACTATACGATTTAAATGGTGCTTAACGCTTTTAACTCCCGCCTCCCACAGTCCAACAAAGTGGGGGGCGTTAGGGGGGGACAAAATGCCAAGAAATCCCTTCATTGTTGAGCCTCTCGCAAAAATCATTATCTTTTCGAATTTTAATTAAAGATTTTTTCAGGACGTTATCTGCCCCAACAAAGTTCTTAGCATTGTCACTGTCCAAATGAGCAGGCTTTCTCCTACGTGACACAAAACGATGGAAAGCTGCTAAAAATGCATCGGTCGAATAATCAGGAACGAGTTCAATATGAACTGAACGGGTAGAACAACAAATAAAGAGAACTATGTAGGTTTTCTGACTCTTGATTCCCCTTCCCAATGCGAAACGAATATCAAAGGGACCGGCATAATCGATGCCAGTGTGTGTAAATGGTCGAGAGGGAGTAACTCTAAAATCGGGTAAATTTCTTATGAGTTGTTGAGGTATCTCAGCCCTTTCTCTTACACATTTAACACAAGCTTTAATTATTCCTTTCACCAAAGATCTAGCTCCAATGATCCAAAAATTCTGTCTTAGAACGTGTAAGGTTAATTGTAAACCTCCATGTAAAGATCTGAGATGAGCATGAGAAGCACTCAGATAACTAATTTGGTGACGAGGTAAAATTATCGGGTGTTTTTCATCGAAACTAATAGGAGCATTTTTTAATCGCCCACTTATTCTCAAAATTCTCTTGGAATCCAAAAAGGGATTCAAATTTTTTATGGTTGATTTTAAATTCACCGACTCTGAATCCTTGAGATTTTTAATTTCGTAGAAAAGAATTCAACCTGAAGCCACTTTATCCAAAATTCTCTGGATTGATATATTTCCTCAACATCAAGAGGCCCTGATTTAGTTGGAGTTTCAGTTTTGTTTTTCGAAAATTTCGTAATAAAATTAGAAAGAAAGCGCTTACAATAAGCAGTTACTCTCAATAACTTGGGCCATGAGGAAATTTTTTTAGACAGTTCCGAAAGACAATCATCGCGAATAGAAACATGAATATTAATTGGTTTTTGTTCCAAATTAACTTCTGATGGAATCAAGGGACATTCTTGTGGACTTTTGTTAGATTTATCAGGAAGCCACGGAGGGCCCTTCCACCAAAGAGAATGATTCAAAATTTCAGAAGGAGAAATTCCGCGTGAAATACAATCCGCAGAATTTTCCCTCGTAGGAACGTATTGCCATTTAGCATCCGGAAGTAATTCGTGTATTTGTGCTACACGATTCGCAACAAAAGTGCGCCAAGTAGATGGATGTTTACTCAACCATGCCAATACCACTGTCGAATCCGTATGACAAAAAACAGGTAAGTTTTCCAAATTTTTTAGAGTTATCACGAAACTAAGAATTTTTGCCAGCAGGACGGCTCCACACAGTTCTAATCGCGGGATACTAACAGGATTTAGAGGAGCAACTTTTGATTTGGCAAAAAGAAGAGTAATTCTCTCCATTCCAAGGTCATCCTCAAGACACAAATAAACACAAGCCCCGTAAGCTCGACTGGAAGCATCAGAAAATCCATGCAATTCAAGATTCTTAGTGGATTTAGTTTGACCTGTCCATCTTGAAATTTTAAGACACTCTAATTTATTTAAAGAAAAGTAATAATCTTTCCAATTTTTAATAAATCTTCAGGAAGCTGATCATCCCAGTCGAGCTTACGCAGTCACAACTCCTGAATAAGCATTTTCGCCACAACAATCACCGGAGCCAACCAACCAAAGGGGTCATAAAGTTTTGCTATGAGGGACAAAACTTTTCTTTTCGTAGGATTAAGAATTTCCTCACAAGATACCTTAAACTGGAAAACATCAGAAACCGGATCCCAATTTAAACCAAGAACTTTAAGTTGTAAATCCTTATCAAAAGGAATTTCTATGGCTCTTTCATTATTTCCTTCAGGACAATTTTCCAATAAAGAAACTTGATTGGATGCCCATTTATGTAAATGAAAACCGCCACATTTCATTAAATCGACAACTTGTTTTTGAGTTTCCTTTGCCTCTTCCTCCTCGTCAGCACCAAATAAAGCATTATCGACGTAAATATCATTTTCAACAATCGATCTAGCTAAAGGAAAATTATCACCCTCATCCCTGGCTAATTGTTTCACAACTCGATTCGCTAAAAATGGAGCACATGTTGTGCCATAGGCATCGACCACGTAAACAAAGCGATATTCGCGCGAACGCATAATAATCGAAATTAAATCGTTTAGAATTTTAGGACTAACGAGAAGATGTGAATTTGCATGTGTCCCGTTTCGATATATTCAAAAATAAATTCCAGATTTTGTTTCGATAGAATAGGATTTTTAGAAAGACGTTGCATGACTTTACAAAGAATAATTTTAGTTATCTCTAGCAAATTACCAATATCTATTGGAAAATCGGTCTTAAATGGTAATCGAACAATATAACGACCAGAATTCAATCGAGAAAATACTCTTCACAACGAAACTCATCTTCAGTCAAGGACGATTTTACTGGACTTTCTTCTAACTGCCAAAAACGAATTAAATCCTCGTGTAAAGTGTCAGCCGAGACACTAATATGATTAGATAACGAGGGTTTTACTTGTGAATCACATGGAACTGGACCAGAAAGTATCTAACCAAAAATTGACGCCTGCGCAGTTAAGGAACCAAATAAATTTTGTTCCAAACCAGGTAACAAACATTCGCCGAATTTATCGGCTCCAATTATAAAATCGATTCGAGAATCACTAAAAGGATCGGGGTCTGCTAATAATAAATTAGTTTGCTCTAAATCGTTTTTTAAACCCATACTTGTAGGTGGACTGTAGGAGGTTAAGTTTATCAAAACTAAGATTTTAATTAATAATTTAGGATAATCCTGTTCCCTTGAAATAATTTCAAAATGTGCTAATTTTTTTGCTTGCATTAATATTCATAGCTCCCACTCCAAAAACGAGAGCATTAACTCGATCATATCGAGGATTCAAAATTTTAACGGCTCTTTCTGAGCCCTGGCGGATTGGGAAAACCGAGTTGTAACCGAATTGGGTTACGATTCGGTTACGTTTTGGTTCATTGTGAAATATTATCGTTAATCGACGAAATATATAGTAAATAACTATTGGGAATGGTTAATATACATTTAGAGTGCTTATTTATGCAATAATAATAATAAATTAAGATATAATTAATTAATAATAAGTGTTTTAAGTGTACAGTGCATACAGTTGTTGAATTACCATATATATGTATATTACCATCAGCGGCAGCTGTGATACGCGCGTTAAACTCTAGATGGCGTTAAGGATGACTTTGTAAATGAATTTCTAAAATAAAGCCCTTGAGTGTCAAATGTGTAAGTGAATATATAAGTTTTGAAAAAATAGATCAATTTATTAAAACAACTTTTTTGATTTGTACAAATATAAAAATAAAATTTTTATAACGAACAAAAATTTTTTTAATCAGAAAAAGTTTTTTTTGTGTCAAAATTAATCTTTCTCATTTTTCTTTATTTGAATAAATTTTTTTTGAATTTTTGAATAAAAAAAAATTTTTTCTCAATAAAATGAAAAAGATTAATTTTGACACAAAAAAACTTTTTCTCATTAAAAAAATTTTTGTTCGATATAAAAATTTTATTTTTATATTTGTACAAATCAAAAAAGTTGTTTAAATAAATTGATCTATTTTTTAAAAACTTATATATGGGCGATTCCACGTGAGATTTATAGTCGAGGTTTAAAATTCTAGTAAATATATTTTTTCCTTATTCTTTATGAAAAAAAGAGACACCTATTTTTTTTTATGGTCAAATTTTTGAGTTACAAATTTTCAAAATTTTGTTCAGTCAAAAGCAGACCTATTTTCAATTAAGAATAGATGAAAAACTATTGTATTTAGAAAAATTTTGTAACGACATAAAAAATTTGTTTTTTCTTCGACTTTTTAAAAATGTTAACAAAAAAAAAATTTGTGTTATATTGTTAATAAATTAATTAACCTCTGCATTTTTCATTTGTTTAATTAACATTTAAATAAACTGAATTTTTTTTTTATTTTTTTTTAAATTTTATTGACTTGATGTAAAAAAAATTTGTCTTTTGTATGATAAGTCTCGTTTATGTATAAAAATGGAAGCTTTATTGATTGAAATAGATTCTTTTTATCAACATATTTGTCGGACCGAGACAAATTATAAGAAATTAGGAAAAGCTAATTCTAATCTAGCCGTTGCTAAGGGTCGCTTACAATTGTTAAATGAACGATGGACTCTAACACAAGCAATCGATTTAAAATTGCAAACTACGGTCAGCTCCACTGATAAATTGAGTCACGAATATTTTGTAAAATCTCATTTTTTAAAAATAGAGGAAGCGTATTTAAAAGCGTATGATTTTTTAATTAATGAAATTGACAAATTTACACATAGACAAGCGTCGTCTTCTGCGACGTTAAATGAAACTTCAGTTTTTCACGAATCGATGCGAATAAAATTACCTCATATCTCTTTACCGGAGTTTTTTTTTCTCGTTTGTACTCCTGCCCTATTGGCATATTACGCACTCGACAAGAGTCCCCGAGAAATACTTTTTATGGATGAAGCATAACCATTCTACAAATTTTTGCAATTTTTTAACCTAATGCGCCTACAGTGCGACTTTCGAAGATAGGAGTACTCGCATTTGCCTGAACCACCCGTCATTGGGTTTTCTCGCCAGAGAAGAGGGAAACTGTAGAAAAACCTCTTCTGAGTACAACCGGTTTATCGACTGTCTAGTTTCGGCGGTATACATCGGACAATTAATCAACAATGCATACCGTCGCACCTAGACGTCAAACCTCCCGCTCAGAATAGCTCACTTGTTGGAAAAATCCCCGGCTGACGGGGGGCGCGAACCTCGTTCGCTCAACCCGCAAAGCCTGGAGCACCAACCAACTGAGCTATTCCGTCGGTTCTTTACCGGAGTTCTCAGGCAAATTTTCTGACTGGGAAAATTTTCGCGATTTATTTGACGCTATGATTATTAAAAATGAAAGAATATCGAATATTACTCGTTTGCATTATTTGAAAACTTCACTAAAGGGCGAAGCAGTTCAATTATTAAATCATGTAGCGGTTACTGATTCGAATTGTAATATTGCCTGGGAAATTTGAAAAGCTAGGCATCATAATAAGCGTGTCATTATTACTTTGCATTTTTCTTCGTTTATAAATTTTCCCAAAGTCAGTCACAATTCACCCGAGGAAACGTTTAAAGGTCTTACTGAATTTTTGGAAACGCGAATAAGAGCTCTTGAGGCAATTCAAATTTCGAAAAATTTAAGTTCAGAAAAATCAAAAAATTCAAATCAACAAGTTACAAAGAGCCATGCTGCTTCTACCACTACTAAGTGCGTTTTTTGTAAAGAAAATCATCCCTTATATCGCTATAATCAATTTAAGGAACTTCCAGTAGAGAAAAGAAAAGAGATTGTTATTCGAAATCGGTGTTGCTTTAATTGCCTAGTTCCGGGTCACAAACCGAATTCCTGTCATCACAAAGTGCGATGTAATTATTGTAAGGGTAAACATAGTACTCTTTTACGTTAGACTTAAAGATCCATGTGATTCTGCTCATTTTTTGAATATTCAATCGGGTTTGTTGACTCACACACTCTTAGCGACTGATCTGGTAAATGTTAAAACCGATAAGGGTAAAATACATAAATTTAGAATTTTACTAGATCAAGGGTCGGAAAGTTGTTTTGTCTCCCTGGCGGATTGGAAAAACCGAGTTGTAACCGAATTGGGTTACGATTCGGTTACGTTTCGGTTCATTGTGAAATATTATCGTTAATCGACGAAATATGTAGTAAATAACTATTGGGAATGGTTAATATACATTTAGAGTGCTTATTTATGCAATAATAATATTAAAATAAAACATAAATAATTAATAATAAGTGTTTTAAGTGTACAGTGCATACAGTTGTTGAGTTACCATATATATGTATATTACCATCAGCGGCAGCTGTGATACGCGTGTTAAACTCTAGATGGCGTTAAGGATGACTTTGTGAATGAATTTCTAAAATTAAGCCCTTGAGTGTCAAATGTGTAAGTGAATATGGGCGATTCCACGTCAAATTTACAATCAAATTTTTAATTTGGCCAAAAACATTTTTTCTTCATTCTTTATTGGAAAAAAAGGATACGTATTTTTTTTTTTATGGCCAAATTTTCTCACTATGAATTTTTGAAATTTTAGATTTTCAAAAGTAGACTTATTTTCAATCACATGTATCTTTAAAACTATCAACTTTAGAAAAATTTTGCTAAGAGAAAAAAGTTTAGTTTATTTACGACTTTTAAATAATTGAAACAAGAAAAAAAAATTTTGAATTTTTATAAAAAAAATATTAATTTTTTATAAACAAATTAATGTTTTTTACATTTGGGCCCGATTTTTTTTCGTATACCTACCTAGAAGTGTTAAGAAGACTTTAGGAAAGGTTTCAGAGTGGGCCTGATAAGTTTAATAAGTTTAAATAAATATTTAAACACGGATTGCAAGCTTAATGCGCGCGCGGTGCTTTGTGAGTCTATCTAGTTTGAAAAGAAATTTTCTTTAAGAGGCATTTTATATTTTTTTAACTTGTTACATCAGTTTATTACAAAACGGATTTGTTAAAACTTTAAATATAAACATATTTAAACATTTCAATTGTTTATACGATTAATTAAATAGTTAGATTAATGGATTTTTGTTTTATTCAATTTTTACATATCACAATATTCGAAAAGAATTGTTCTTTAAACTAGATAGACTCACAAAGCACCGCGCGCGCATTAAGCTTGCAATCCGTGTTTAAATATTTATTTAAACTTATTAAACTTATCATGCCCACTCTGAAACCTTTCCTAAAATCTTCTTAACACTTCTAGGTAGGTATACGAAAAAAAAATCGGGCCCAAATGTAAAAAACATTAATTTGTTTATAAAAAATTAATATTTTTTTATAAAAATTCAAAATTTTTTTTTCTTGTTTCAATTATTTAAAAGTCGTAAATAAACTAAACTTTTTTCTCTTAGCAAAATTTTTCTAAAGTTGATAGTTTTAAAGATACATGTGATTGAAAATAAGTCTACTTTTGAAAATCTAAAATTTCAAAAATTCATAGTGAGAAAATTTGGCCATAAAAAAAAAAAAAATACGTATCCTTTTTTTTCAATAAAGAATGAAGAAAAAATGTTTTTGGCCAAATTAAAAATTTGATTGTAAATTTGACGTGGAATCGCCCATATTCACTTACACATTTGACACTCAAGGGCTTAATTTTAGAAATTCATTCACAAAGTCATCCTTAACGCCATCTAGAGTTTAACACGCGTATCACAGCTGCCGCTGATGGTAATATACATGTATATGGTAATTCAACAACTGTATGCACTGTACACTTAAAACACTTATTATTAATTATTTATATTTTAATTTAATATTATTATTGCATAAATAAGCACTCTAAATGTATATTAACCATTCCCAATAGTTATTTACAACATATTTCGTCGATTAACGATAATATTTCACAATGAACCGAAACGTAACATGCTTACAGAAAACATTGACCTGCGTGCGCCGGTGTGGAGCATGCGCACAGCAACAACGACAGACTGAAAAGTTTGTGGAGTTCCGTAAGGGATACGCTACCGAGCGGACGCGTTACTTTGCTTACGAAACATACATTGAATTTCACGGGTTCTCCTAGTTCGGTGTTATCTTGCCAATAGCGATTAAATCCGGGATGTTTTTTTTTTCTTTTTTTAAAGACTCAAAGAGTCTTATTGTGGGTTTCATAGCATTCTCACCTTTCGTAGTATAGTTGTTTTCTTTTTAGGTTAGCCAGCCTCGTGGCTGTGCGCGCGCGTCGCAGAGGCATGGCCTCTAGCGCGGATTTCTCAACTTCCGCAATGGACTTCACTGATGAGACAGAGGAGGAGATAGCTGCGAAAAATTTATTATTTTATCAGGATAATACAAAAAACTTTCGTTCGAGAAACAACTCGACATCGTCCCTCGAATCGGAACAAAAGCGTAAATGCGAAAATCAATCGGACCCATCCATGCCGCCTCCTTCTTCTGCCAAAGTGCATTTAAAATCACCCGCTAATACAAATTCGGGAATTAATAAATCTAAAATCAAACTCGCGAAATACGAAAATTCAAATAAAGGCAAATGTCCAATTTTCTTACAGCGCGATCCCAATTCGAAAGATTTGTCGAAAGACTTAAACCATGTGTCGGTCGGTAAAATCATCCACAACCTTTACCCGGGTAAGGTTGTCGGTATTTATCCAAGTGGTCGCGGAAAAGTTCGGGTTATCACGAATAGTGGCAGAGCGGCAAACCAGATTTCATCTGACCCCACTCTGAAATCAAAAGGTCTATTTGCAATAATCCCATCAAGTTTCGTCACATGTCAAGGCATTATTAATAACATCGGGATAGATATCTCTACAGATGAAATCTTAGAACACGCAGAAGTTGTAGGTGTTAATAAAGATATCAAAATCATTGGTGCCATGAGGTTTAACCGCAAAAAAATTGACCAGGACAACACGGTTAAGTATGAACCTTCCACTACCGTTCTTCTAACCTTCCAAGGTACTTGCATTCCAGAACGCGTTGCAATTTATAAAGGTTCATCCCCAGTGCGTCCCTACGTACCCGACCCACGTATGTGCCTAAATTGTTTAAGATTTGGCCATATAGCCAAACACTGCAGGTCCAAACCTCGATGCCAACAATGCGGCGGCTCAGCCCCCCATACAGACGATTCTAACCCCTGTACCCACGCGTCAGGTCCTCCAAGATGTGCAAATTGTAACGGTCCACACAAACCTTCTTCAAAACAATGTCCAGAATTCACTTTTCAAAAAGAGGTGCGCTACTATGCGACACAACACAAAATGTCCTTCGATGAAGCCAAAGAAATTCTTAAACCAAAAAAGGTAACTCGTCATATAAATTCATTTAACTTTTCCGACTTTCCTGATTTGGTAGATCAACAAGCCCCTTCTGCATCTCTCACACAAAATCAAACTCTAACCTCCAAAAACGCTTATTTTCTCAAGTGTCATCCACTCACAATAACAATTCTCAACGGTTATCAAACAACACGTCACACTCTCGCATACACGAAACACAAAAAAAACAACTCTTCTTCTTCATCCTTTTTCGCTACAAATTGGAACAACGGCAGGTCTAACATCTCTATGCCTAACGGTTTTGCTCTTTCCAAACACACATCTACCTCTCCTTCCTCTCCTCCATCTGAACCACACACATCTAACTCCAACCCTCAATTTCAAGAATCACTCAATTCTTTCATTTCACTTCTAAACATGCATGTCACTCAAATTTCTTCCAACTCACCTCCAGAAATCGTGAAACAAAAACTTGAAACTCTCTCTAACATCATCACTAGCCTCCATTCTTTGTTAGCTCTTCCAGCTCACAAGGATGGCTAGTCTTTCCAAATTAAATATCTTACAGTGGAATTGCCGTGGTGTCTCTAACAAGACACACGAAATTCACAAACTTTCCAATCAATTTGATATTCTCCTCCTTTGCGAAACTTTTTTGAAGCCTAAAAAACGCGTTAACTTTAATATTCTTAAACAATTTAATATTATTAGATCAGACAGAACAGTAAATAAAGGCGGCGGCCTTGCTTTTGTAATTCGCAAGAATTTAACATTTTCAAAAATCGGTTCAATTTTCACTCGGGAGGATGAATTTGAGACACTCGCTGTTTCAATTGACTCCTCCATGGGTGAACTTTTAGTAGTATTAGTTTATAGAGTTCCGGGTAAATTAACCCCTCCCACCTACTGGAAAAATTTTTTCAACTTCATAAAAAAATTCGGGCTTCAACACGGTTTTTATAGGAGGAGATTTTAACTGTCACAGCACCCTATGGGGTAGCTCCCATGTTTGCCCCAACGCACGCAATCTATGCGATGAATTGGATGTTACAGACCTTATTCTTTTAAACAATGGATCACCCACTCTATTAAGCCGTCCACCAAACCCTGGTTCTGCTTTAGACCTTACCTTCGTAACTTCAAATCTATACACAACCTCTTCCTGGAAGGTCTACAATGACACTTTAGGTAGCGATCATTTTCCCATCTTCACATCTTTAGGTATTACAATACCTATTTCCATATTTGCTTCACATAAATACAATTTGAGAGGTATTGACTGGTCTCTCTTCTCTTCTGAACTCCATTCGTCCATAGAATCAAACTCAAATGTCCTACACACAGATAACCCAATCTCCGATTATGATCAATTTGTACATCTTGTAGATACAACAATTAACTTAGTTTGTCCACAACGCACAACCTCATCTAACACACGTCACAATTCCTCCTCATCTAAAAAACCATTTGTTCCTGCACCTTGGTGGGACAGTAAATGCGATGAAGCAATCAAAAATAAGAAAGAAGCCTTAAAAAATTATAAAAAAAACTATCAAACTACTCGAATTTTCTTATTTATAAAAAACCGAAGCCATAGCCAAACGTACCCTTAGTGAAGCCAGGCGACAATCCTTTAAAACTTTTTGCGACTCTTTAGACAGACATACACCTTTAACGAAGGTATGGTCTGTCATTAAATCATTCAAAAACCGATACACACAGCCCTCCTCTGCATCTTGCTCGGCAGACAGGGAAACTATTGAAAAATTACTCACTCGTCGATGAACTTTACCCACTTACCGTCTTTCATGACGACTTCCCCGTCGATTTTGACAACAATCCGTTCTTAGAAGCTTCTTTTACTATTTCCGAATTGACAACAGCTATTAAATCATGTAAAACTAAATCATCCCCGGGCCTTGATAAAATAGACTACAACATTATTCAACACTTTCCAGACATAGCCTTATCAACTCTTCTGTCAATTATTAATAGAATAATCTCCAATGGCGTTTTCCCTTCTTCCTGGAACAATTACCTCATTTTCTTCCTTCCAAAATCCTCACCTGGTAAATTTCGTCCTATTTCCCTAGCATCTTGTCTTTTTAAAATTTCCGAAAAACTAATTTACAATAGACTTATCTGGCTTATCGAACGTGATAAGATCCTCAGTCCAAGACAATTTGGATTCAGGAAAGGTAAATCCTGCACGGATTGCCTTTCACTGCTCTCCACTGAGATTTGGACAGGCTTAGCACAACGCGAAATCACCGGTGCACTCTTTTTAGATATAAAAGGGGCTTTCCCTAGCGTGGTACCAAATATTTTAATTAAAGATCTTAAAGAAATAGGCATTCCGGAATCAATTTCTCGTTTTATATATAACTCAATTAAATGTAAAAATATGTTTGTCAAAATCAACGGCGAGGTTATAGGCCCTAGAACCAGTACGGTTGGCCTTACACAGGGCAGCATACTTAGCCCAATCAATTACTCCATTTACACTAGAAAACTTAATACCATTATTCCTGCAGATTGCGAATTAAACGAATTTGCCGACGATTTATCTGTTACCTGTCGCTCCCCTGACCTTAACCAAATTATTAATTCTCTTCAAAGTTGCCTTAATATAATTTCCGAATTTTTAACCGACAGAGGTCTGGAAGTTTGCCCAGTTAAAACTAAATTCATTATTTTCAGTAACAAAAAACTTAATTCAGATGACCCTAACCTTTCTTTAACTTTAAATGAAATAATTATTAAACCATCCCCCACAGTTAAATATCTTGGTATTCACTTTCACGAGTCTGCTTCCTCCGATACTCACTTCAACTATCTTTGCGATAAAGGAAGAAAAATTCTAAGTGTACTAAAAGTCCTTAGAGGCACTTGGTGGGGAGCGGACCCTCATCTACTCCTTCGTATTTACGATTCATTACTTAGAAGTCCCATAGATTACGGTTCACAAGCCTCTAACTTTAAATCTCATAAAAATTTCTCCCGTTTAGAAAAAATACGTAGCCAAGCTCTGAGACTAGCCGTAGGCTATAGACAAAGCACCCCTATCAATGTAATGTTAGCTGAATGTTGTGAACCCCCCTTAAGAACAAGATTTAATTTCCTTGCTAAAAAATATCTTTATAGAGTTTTCTCAAATTCCACCCATCCACTTCGAACTAAACTTCCAGAGCTCTCTCGCCTTACCATCGATTCCAACGTAAAATTCAACTATCCCCTTTTAATCGCATTTGAAAAATCAAAAAATTATAGCGAACTAATTAGAAGTAAGGACCTCGATCCTTACTTTGAATTCCTCTTTGAGGATCACTCATTTACTCCCCAGATTATTCTTAACTGGGGTCACTCACTTCAAAATTCATGTAATCCCTCTATCGATTTTAAGAACTTAACTAATTTTAACTTCCCTAATCATACCTTTTTCTTCACCGATGGCTCTAAGTCTGAAGTGGATCATTTGGCTGGCTGTGCCGTCGTCTGCCCTTCTTTAAACCTAACTTCAAAATTTAAAATTTCAGATTACTCGTCAATTTTTTCATTAGAAGCATTCGCAATTTTATTTTGCCTAGATTATATAATTAATTCCGATCTTTCTAACACAGTTATTTTTTCAGACTCACTCAGCGTTCTTAGTAACTTGACCTCAAAAAATACCTATAAAACGAAATCTTACATAATTTTTACAATTAGAAACAGATTAAAAATACTCGACAACCTGAATCGTCCAACAACCCTTGTTTGGGTTCCAGGTCATTCAGGAATTGAAGGAAACGAGAGGGCAGATGTCGCAGCCAAGGACGCAACTGCCAACTCAGATTTAGTTAACATACCTCTCCCTTTTTCTGACTTCTTTTGCCTTGCCAAAAAACAATTAGTTGACAGCTGTAACTCCTTTTTTAAAGACATAGGTAAAAACAAGGGAATCCATTACACCCAACTTTATTATAAGCCACGTAGGAAACCATGGTTCGCGAACTTTACGGCTCGACGACTATGGATCGTTTCCTTATGTCGTGCGAGAGCTAATCATTATAACCTAAACGCCAGCCTTGCTAGAAAAAACTATATTAAATCGGGTCATTGCTCTCACTGCCCTAACACAGAACAAGACCTTGACCACATATTATGGGCCTGTCCCAGATTCGATACTCTTCGGGCAGATTTAATAAAATCTCTTTCTAGAGCTTTAAAATGCTCTCCTCCTTTTAGTTGCGTACAATTCCTTACCAATCCCACCCCCAGAGTTGTTTTTCACATTTTTAGATTTTTAAAACGCGCTAAAATAAAAATTTAACTTTAATTTAACTCATTACCAATTATTACTCTTAACTGTTTAAATAATTACCTCTTTTTATATATACTTTAATTTTCGCGCTCTCCTCCTCTGTGTCTCATCATTGGTGCGCGGTGGTTCAACCGGGAATCCATCTTGGATCCCCGGTTGCACCTCTGCGCGCCCGTGCGGCGGCATACGGACCGCCTTTTCTCTGTTCACAGATATCAAGTTTAAGCCTCATTCATTCACCAGGTCATGGCCGGATATACAGGCGCAAAGCCAGTATAGTGCCAAACACAACTTAACTTAACTGAAAAGTTTGTGTAAATGATTTGTTTCATGTGTGTGACCTCACGTTTTTACTCCCTAGAGAGTAAATTTTTAATTTAAACGCACCCGCGCACGTCGCTCGAAAAGCTGGAGTTTAAGCTCGCTCGGTGGGGCGTAAAACTGACTGAATCGTGCATGTATGATAAAAAATACTTTAAAAAGTATTTTTAACACCATTCTAGCCCAATATAATCCGAATGATTTTATTGGGATGAAGTTTCACTCGAACACGTTAGGTGAAGGGTCTAGTTTTTTGTCGTACAGACTGGTTTCCCTGGCGGAATGGTTGAACGCGGATCGGACGCCGTTGCGTCCAATTCGCGTCTGACCGCGGACGCTCTTGTATTTTTGTTATTTTTAAACTTTAAATAATGAAAAAAGGTTAAAAAATTATTAGAAACTATAAAAAAGTATTAAAGAATCGAATAATACCATATTTATGCATAATTAATGCAAAATAAGTTAAAAATTAATACTTAAAAAAAGGTAAATATGTGAAAGTTTATCATGAAACTTGTGTGCAATTTAACGAAATGTGTTGTTTACAGGAAATAATATTAAAAAAGAACATTAAAAAAGTAAATTTCTACAATTTAGAATTACTATTTTTGACAGAAATTAATTAAAATAAAAGTAATAAAAATAAATGTTCCAACAATAAGAATTTACCGACAACAAGGCGTAAGTTCATGTGGTGAAATGATAGATGGCAGCACATAAACTAATCAAATCTTTTTAAATGGAACAAGAAGAAAGAGAATCTCAAAACTTATAATCGAATGCAAAACTCGTTTGTCACATTTCACTAAAAATTCATCACGCTTAGGTTATAGAGGGCTCTGATGTCCGCGTCGTAAGCAAAATTCAGTTTTGCAAACTCAATTGGCTCGCAAATTAACACGAAAAACACATGTTGCGA